GGGTCAGAGATTCTAATCGATCTAAAACTTTTGTCAAATGATGTAAACATTATTTACAAGGTGTTGGTATACGAAAAGAGTGAATGTCAGTGCACAACCAGGGCAAACTGGTGACTTCACTGCTGTGGGGTTCAGTGTCAGCTGATCTAGCTATACTTATGCCGCTCCCAGCTTTACTAACTCTATTGTAGTAGAATAGTATCAGGTGTAGTGCAGTTTAGATTCGTGTCCCAAATGCTGTCAACCAGTGAAATTCGGGCCAGAGAGGGTACAATCTGTTCCTGAACTACCTGATTCCTTTGCAAAGATCCCTCCTACTTCATTGAAGTCAAAGAACCCAACACCGCCAAGTGGTGCAGTGCCAAGGCCAACCACAGACCTGCTTAGACCACAAATGGCCCTGGAGTATGGGTGGCTGGAGAAAGTCTTTATCACTGAAGAGATAGATGATGCTGTTAACCCCACATGGTCAGCTCATCATGCCTTTAAAGATCACATGCAACCAAAAAATCAAACATAATTAAAACACAATTATCACTTATTCATGACATATAATATACATTGCTGGTAATGAAAAACATATAAACAAAATTATAAGCGTACAATCGCAAATCAAAAGTGCAATATTGTGTACTTGGGTTTACCCTCCAAGAAACGAAGCAGCCGGGATACCGAACCCAGTCAGAGCGGGTGGGTGTGCACTCAAGTGTAACCGCTGGTTCATTTGCAAAAGCCCTCACGGCTCATTGTGTGTGTATATATAGAGATGTTGGGTTTTGTAAATACATGCTCATTTTTTGTGTATAACATTGTGCAATCAACAGACATCATAACATGTCATGTGTTCAAGTATCACACCTGCCTGTCTGTGTAATTACATAATGTGACAGAGACCGAACTCGGGCCATAAATCAATGCATTTTGTTTATGGTGTATAGCCTGATTGGTGTTAAGTTCAAATTGCATGTGGTCAGTGATAGCAGCTGTGTATTGAATATTGTCATTAGCAGACAGGCAGGCAGACACACAGGTGTCAATAAAACAAGACATTGAGTTTTGTCTGTGACAACGACATATCTATATCACAGTTAGAAATTCTGTCAACGCGAAATAATGACATTGCTTTTAAGTATCGAACTGAGAAAGTGACTCGGTAAGAAGAACGTGTGGTGAAATAGACAAATGAAATTATATAAACAGTTAATTTACTGTCATAACATATAAAAACCTCGCGCCTGTGAGATATCAACAAAACATTAGAAAAATAGCTCACACCAAAGCCTTCACCGAGTATTCACCGGACAGCCCACTTCCAAGCCGCGCGAACCTATTTCACTGCGCACGTGCTGTGAGCGCAGCCCAGCTGTTGAAACCCGTATTCCCCCGAAAAGTCGGGGAAAATTAGTGAAACGTTTGAACTGCGATTTCGCGCGGTTTTTTCATCGCGTTATTTTTGACGATTTGTTTCGGTAAGTCCATACCGAAAGGTATCAGAATCTGCAAAGTTGTGTTTTACGTTGCATGTGACCTTTAAGAAAAGAGGCCCAGAGTTTGAAGTGATTATCACTTCTTTGCTGCCACTTCTCAGGGACGAGGCTCTCTCTGTAGCTACAGTGATGCAGGTAATGCAGAAGGTGTGTGACACAGTTGCACACCTGAACCAAGGCCAAATACCTGTCATTACAGCAGACCAGCCAATCTATGCCTTGGCAAAACAGGTGCAGTGGTAATGGCCAGACAAGTTTGAAGAGGATATATACCTTGTCATGTTTGGGGGTCTCCATATCGAAATGGCTGTTTTTCGGTCTCTGGGTTCTCTGCTGAAGGACAGTGGTTGGACTGGCGCTCTAGTAGAAGCAGGTGTGGCTTCTTCTGGCACTGCAGATTCATTTCTAGCAGCTTCAAGTGCCACTAAGACACGACAAATGCACCAGGTCACTGCCTGCAGCCTTTACAAGTTGCTAAAATATGCCTACAACAGTTATTGCACAGAACAAGCAGAGATCAATGAAGACGTATTGGGCTTTGAGGAGTGGTGTCAGAACAAAAGCCAACAAAGTCCGCAATTTCAATTCTGTCTTTGTTGTTGTCAGTGGAACTTACAGTCTTCGTGCTGATCAGATCATTCCGTGAAGCGAACTTCAGCCTATACTGTCAGGCATTGAGGGAGTTGATCCCATACTTGTTTGTCAATAACAACACCAATTATGCCTGATGGTTGCCTATTCATCTGAGGGACATGCTGACTTTGGAAATTAAACACCCAGCATTGGCGCAGGAATTCAAGATGGGCAACTTTGTTGTGCACAAGACCAAGCTTGACTTCTCAGCGCTTGCTCTTGATCAGGCCTATGAGAAGGCCAATGCTGTCATTAAGGCTGACGGTGGAGCCATTGGGCTTGCTGAAAATCCATCAGACCAGAGTGAGCCCTCTGGTGTTCCTCTATGAAATGGAGGCACAAACAAAAGAGGCCAGCGAGCACTATCTTCACCATGAGCAGACACCACATGCCCAGAAGACATTTATAGAAAGGGTCCAGAAACTCTCTCAGGTCCTGCAAGTCTTGGGAAACCCTTTAGAGGAAGACAGTGTAGATTTGTTTTCAACAGACACCAAAGATGTAGGTCATCCCAGCTCTGCGGAGCTTGTTCACACTCACTTGCAGAAAGGTAGCACACAATACCAAAACTTTGCGAAAAGATTGGAAGATAATCCAACATCATTCTATCAGCCCATCAGAAAGCAAAGACCTGACTTCTTCTGTCAATATAAGCCTGTTACAGAACCATCAAAATAGAAACAGCTAAAAGAAGACTGTCAGCTGTTTTCCAAGCTGTTCATCTCCTGTCAGATCAGGGAGTGCGACCTGTAGGAGTTCTTTCAGCACAAAAATCAATCATTCCGTGCATCATCTGTAAGTGATGATGAAAGGATTTATAGCTGTCAAAAGTCCCAACTGACCTACACACTTGAGAAACACATCACGCCTCCAGACAAAGAGCCAGACGCAGATGACATCATAATTGATGGTTCAGCTTTGATCCATGCACTGCCACCGGAAAGGTCTAAGACATTTGCAGACTATGCATCCCTTGACTTTCTGCCAACTATTAGTGCATATGCCAGTACATACAAGACAACACATGTTGTCTTTTATATGTACAGTCCATTAAGTCTGAAAGCAGACACAAGGTCCAAAAGAGGACAAGGAGTGAGACGCAAAGTAACAGAAAAGAATAGCATTCCTTCAAACTGGCACAGCTTTCTGAGGCACAATGACAACAAGGCGGAGCTGTTTTACTTCCTGGCAGACAGGATTGTCCAGATGGGTGCAGCAAACTGGGTTATTGTGACCAAGCTTAAGGGACAAGAAACACTTTGCACACACAAAGTGAGTTTGACTGAAGTGGACGATGTTCTCATGAGGAGGCAGACAGCCGCATCTTTGTTCATGCCAGATATGCTGCAACCCAAGGTAGCAAATCCATCATAATCAAAGCTAATGACACAGATAAAAGAATAGCATTCCTTCAAACTGGCACAACAATGACAACAAGGCGGAGCTGTTTTACTTCCTGGCAGACAGGATTATCCAGATGGGTGCAGCAAACTGGGTTATTGTGACCAAGCTTAAGGGACAAGAAACACTTTGCACACACAAAGTGAGTTTGACTGAAGTGGACGATGTTCTCATGAGGAGGCAGACAGCCGCATCTTTGTTCATGCCAGATATGCTGCAACCCAAGGTAGCAAATCCATCATAATCAAAGCTAATGACACAGATGTCCTTGTGCAAAGCATGGGTCTGCAGCAGCTGTGGCTCTTATTTGGCCAAGGTCAGAGCCTTCGATGGATTGGCATTCACAACCTGCACAACTCTGTTGGCCAAGAGAAGGCCAAAGGCATGTTGTTCTTCCATGCTTTTACAGGTTGTGATGTGGTGTCAGCTTTTAGGAATAAAGGGAAAAGACAGCTTGGCAAACATGGGACATTTTTCCAGAGGCAACACCAGTATTTGCCAGACTGAGCCAGTATCCACCAAACATTGAGGATGATGACATGGAGATCCTAGAGATGTTTGTGGTCCTCGTGTATGACAGGTCTAGCACTGTAGATGGTGTGGATGAGGCTAGACTCGACTTATTGTCCAGAAAGCAGAGACCATATGAAGCCATCCCTTCAACCGGAGCAGCTCTAATTCACCACGCTAAACGTGCAGTATATCAGGCAGGTTGCGTGTGGGCTCAGGCAATTCTGCGCCAGCCAGAAGCAGAGAGTCCAGCTGACTGGGATTGAAGAAGATTGGCGAAGTATGGAAAACCTGGACAGCCAACTCTCCCATTGCAAAGAGTTGTGAACTGCTCAGTAAGGGTGGCTGCAAATCTGGCTATCGTGGCAGGTGCAAATGCTACCGGTATGGTCTCACATGCACAGCCTTGTGCAGTTGTAAATGTGAAGTGTAGTTTTTCTGTTATTCTGGGTGCAGTGGTTAGTTCAGGTACAATTTTAACTGTTCTTTGCTAAAACTGCCATTTGATTTATGTATTGTTTTGGTATTGTAGTAAAATAACTTCATTTTGTCATAAAAATTGAAATAAATTGTTTTACTTGAAGCAGTTATAACTTACAAAGTAATTATTAGCAATTTTTAGTGTAGACCGGCTGCCATCTTGAAAATGGTAGCCATCTTGAATTTTGCGTGGCTAATGCCCTTTTTTGATAGAGTGAACTCCAATGAACATTTTTGCCAATTTTAAGTGACCTATTTTTGCACTTATTTGCTCCACTATTATTCAACCGTTTTACAAGCCAGTTCGGGGGTGGGGGGTTGAGTTATCTCCCTTGGACCAGTCATTGAATAAATCACGCGCTGTCACTCCATGTGAGAGACTGGACTCCCAACTTTCAAGGAATACTGACATGAAAAGTTCAAAAGAAAGAAAAGGGACAATTTTTAAGATGGGTTGCGGAACTACTGTCTTTCTTTGGTCAATGGAATTTATTGGTCAATAGAATGAAGGTATTCATCATCCGACGAATTTGGGAAAACGACAGGACAGATTCGCCGACGCTTAGGCTTCGGTTCACTCGCACTCGTCGGATCAGCTGATCTGGTGACACTGGCAGTCGCACCCGTTGAATTTCCGACATTGATCTTGAAAACACCACCGTAGATAGGTCCAGCGAATATTGTGCGAATAATTTCAGAAGATATGGCTTTGTTGTTCTGGATTGCAACTATTTGTGAGTTTTGCTTGAACTGGACAAGGTTGGAGTCAGGAATATATGCGTCGTCACAAGATTTCGACAACTGTCGGTTTGCCTGAGTTGTGCCGATATCTCGTTGTTCAGCATCCGACAGACGGGAATAATTGTTCACACTCTGCACATTTTTTTTCCGTGCCTTTATCTATTCACAAAACATATAAATCCAAATTTATCAATCAATTCTATTTATTTAAAAAACTAAATGATTAAATGATTGTTAATTTTACTAAAAAGATCCTTCACAGTTTTAACATTGAAATATTTATCCCTTGTGATGGAAAAATCAATGGAAATTCGTTTTAGGGTTTATTACACGTGTGCAACATATGATGTTTATGTACTCGGTTATGTTTCACTGTATGGATAATAAAATGAAAATTTTTCTAGTCATGAGTTCCATACTGCTCTTGAACAAGCTCACGATACTGCTACAGGAGCTGATAACATACATTATCAACTCTTGAAACACTTACCAGAATCCTGTTTAGAGACTATTTTAAGTATTTTTGATGATATTTGGACATCGGGGAAATTTCCTTCTTAATGGCGTGACGCTATAGTTGTCCCAATACCTAAACCTGGACGTGATTAACCTGCATTTAAGTGTGTTTTAAAAAAAATATCTGTAAGGATTTGTGCCGCAAAATGTCTTCTCTTGTCCTGCCACTTGGACTAAGAATGAAACCTTTCTTTTCTGCTGCCGGCATTGAGCTACAAAATATAGCTCATCCCCGTTTTCTTTCTTCTCCTCCTTGGCAATTAGTGAGGCCAGTAGTTGACCTGACACTGACAACATAATGAATTACACTACAGATAAGAATTTCATCAATTAAAAAGTAAATGCCATACATACAAATCCTGATTTACAGATGGATCAAGGATGGTGGCGCAGTTGCTTGTGCAACTGTCATTGGATCCAGAACAACATCTTCTCTAGTACTGGATAACATATCTATTTTTACAGGTGAAGCAAACGCAATATTAACGGCTCTTAAATATATTAAAAAACACCTTAAATATAAATAATTCATAATATTTTCTTACTCTCTTTCATGCCTTCTTCAGGCTATCAAAAACTTATCCACTTTTAATCGAAATTATTGAATTACATCATCTTGCAACTTGCCAATACGACATCGTCTTCTGTTGCTTACCGAGACACGTTGGCATTTCCGGGAACACAATGGACGTCCCAAAACATCCAAAGTCAATTTACACTGTCTTTAACTGCAGGATATATGTTATTTAAATTAATGGCTAGATTGTCTTAAGCTGCTAATGGCTGAAGTGATGATGTAAATCCAGCTAGGGTCCATGCAGGAAGGAAATGTACTGTAAGTCCCAATGGTGATCTACCTTCAGCTGTTTGCAATCTATAGCCTGTTTTGATATTGTATTGTCATGTATAGATAAAATAATTTCGATTTAATTACTAGTTTTAGATTTATATGTGATAATCTAGTTGTTTTACTGTCCTTCGTTGACAGAATCTCATAATTTACTTTAAATTGTTAATATATTTATAACTTGATTTAGTCACGATGTGACTGAAATATTACCAATGTGGCTTAAACATTTAATTCAGTGACTCACTTATTTCACTGGACAGCCCCACGAAACAAGAAGCTCATATATGAGACGTCTACCGATGCGCTTTGCTGTCATGGCTGCAGTTTTCCCATCCTTATCTCGGGCGTTAATATCGGTCATGTTCTGTGAGAGGTTGAGCTTCACCATCTCTCGACGTCCAACTAAAGAGGCCAGATGAAGGATGTTGTGACCCTGATCGTCAACCAAGGTAGTTAGACCACCTGTGTTCTCAAGCAGATGAAACATTTTTCTATTACCATAATACGCTGCATTCATCAATGGTGTCCTTCCGTACTTTCCCCTTCTGTTAATATCAACACTGCCTTGTGAGAGAAGACTCTTCATCAGATCTAATTGTCCGACCTTGCTGGCAAAGTGCAGGACGCTGTTGCCGCCATCATCAACTTGTGACACATTAGCTCCCCTACTCACGAGGAACTCACAAACGTCTGTGTGCCTCCACAAGACAGCGGCCATCAAAGGGGCCCCACCACCTAACCACCTGCTGTTAATATCAAGACTGCATAGTGAAAGCAGATACTTCACCATACCCAGATGTCCCCCTTTGCAGCCCCAGTGCAGGACGTTGTCGCCGCCTTCATTAACCTATGACACATCAGCTCCCATACACACGAGGAACTCACAAACGTCTCTGTGTCCCTGCCATGCGGCCTGCATGAGAGGAGTCATGAACCTATTGTTAATGTCTATATCATATTGTGGGAGTAAACACTCCACCATACCCACATGACCACCCTTGCAGGCCCAGTGGAGGATGTTCTTACCATCATTATCCACATGTGACCCACTTGTTTTATAAGAAAGTCAAATATTTTGCAATGCCCCAAAATCCTCTGCTCCCTTACCATGACAACCATATGTGGTGTTTTTGCAATGACTCCTGCTGCCACCACGTCTCTACTGTTGATGTCGACCAGACCCTGGGACAGGATGCGTTTCACTCGAGTCAGGTTCCCCCCTGCAGGCATCATGAAGTGGGCTGTTTAGAAATGTTTCCTCCTTGTCAACGTTATGTTGTGGAGACTTCTCAGGGACGTTGTGCTTCTCACCTGCGGATGTTATATGATAATGACACAACGACGTCAATTTGTTAACATTATTCATTGTAGTTTGTAAACAATAAAATGAAAATGTGTTACCAATTGTGCATAATGACCAAGAAACTGAAATATTATCAACAATAATAATAGTTCTTAGAATTCTACCTCTATCTCTTGATTGCATTATTTCTCGAAACCTATTTCTGATCCACAAGTCTAAATTGACTAAAAATTTCTAAAATTATTTGCAATAGGTTAACACTTTGGGCCACTCAAGAAAATATTTTAGCTCCGGAGCAGGCTGGATTCAGAAAAGGTTTTCAAACTACAGATAATATTTTCATTTTAAATACTGTAATAAACAAATACTTGTCATTGTATAAGGGCAGACTATACTGTGCTTTTATAGATTTAAAATCTGCGTTTGACTCGGTTACACATACTGGTCTTTTGTACAAATTATGGATTGGTAATATTAAGGGTCGTATTTTCAAATTTATAAGAAATATGTATGCTAATATAAAATCTTGTGTCCTTGTTGGGAATGGTTGTACTGAGTTCTTTGACTGCAACTTTGGAGTCCGGCAAGGTTGTCAGTTGTCCCCCTTTTTGTTTTCGTTTTTTATAAATGACATAGCCGAGTTTTTAGGACAGGACAATCAATGGTCTATTAGTATCGGTATGCTGCAAGTGTTTATGCTTCTGTTCGCAGATGATATAGTGATGATGGATAGTACAGTTATAGGTCTTCAAAAGAGATTAGACAAGTTGTCAAAGTATTGTGACAAGTGGCAGCTATTGGTTAATATAGACAAAAGTAAAGTCATTGTGTTCAGAAAAAAGAAGACTTAAGCTTTATGAAAAATTTTCTTTCAGTGGTCGAACCCTAGACATTGTCCCTACTTATAAATACCTCGGAGTGCATTTCGCAAGTTCTGGGTCGTGGTACGTTGCTCAGAAAACATTAGCTCTCCAAGCCACCAAGGTTATTCAGTGTTTGAAGTCTAAAGTAAATAACTACCGTAACTTACCAATTCATATGCTATGCCACATATTTGATGCCAAAATCATGCCAGTTCTTATCTATGGTTGCGAGGTGTGGGGTTTTCACTCAATACCCGATGGAAAAGAGTTCATGATCGTTTCTGTAAGGACATGCTATTTTTACATAGATCAGTACCAAATATTGTGGCACGTGGTGAACTAGGACGGCATTCAATTAAAGTCAATTGTTACATAAGGATTGTAAAGTTTTGGGTAAGACTGTTGTATCAAAGAAGATAATGTTATTCTAAAGAAAGCATATTCTTACCAGTTGTCTCTAGCAAACAAGGGCTTGAGTTGTTGGGCATTAGAAGTCAAATCATTATTGTTTCACTATGGATTCGGGGAAGTGTGGATAAATCAGGATGTAGGCATTATAAACCATTTTCGTGTTTCAAACAAAGATGTATAGATATCGATAAACAACGTTGGTTCGAAGCCCTCCGTAAGTATAATAAACTAACTCTGTACCGTTCTATAAAACATGACGCAAATTTTGAACTTTACCTCTCGTGTTTACCAGTGAAAGTTTACTGTATTGCCCTTTCATCACTCCGCTGCTCCAGTCATATATTATTAATTGAACAAGGTAGGAAACTAGGTTTAGCTAGGGAAGAAAGGTTATGTCCTTTGTGTGTGGTTAGAAATATTGAATCAGAATATCACTTTTGTTTAGTATGCCCATTTTATGATGGACTGAGACGAGCTATTATTCCTGCTTATTATCATACATTCCTTCGGAAAACAAATTTAAACAGTTGATAGCAAGTAAAATGTCCATGTGTTATCATTGCTTGCAAAGTATGTATTCCTAGCGTCTACTACGATTTCCTGAATAACATTTGTATGTAAGTTTTGGGATGATCTTCTGTATGTATATTCTGTCTTCCCAAGCTAAATTGAATAACATTTGTTCTCTGAAGATGTTGTCTCCACGGACTGGAAACTTTGTAATATTTCACTAGAATACTCTGTGAAGGGTACTCTGGGATTCCGAAGGAAGGATGGGAGGGCCATTACCTCCAGTGTAAGATGTAGTATTCCAATACTTGTTGACAGTACTTGAGAATTCTTATGAATAAGTCCCCCGAACACTTGAATGCGACATAGACTTGGTGTTAAGACAAATAAACATCCTTTTGGTTGTTGCAGCAACATTTGAGAACGTCTCTCACTTCTGCAATTAATGATTTTGTGGACCATGACATAATTCTTGGAAATGATGACATTATTTCTATTATCTTATCATGACGTCATGATGTGATGATGTAAGGATGACGTTACTTCCGGTCCGTATACGTCCCATCTATGAAGACCAAGTGTTATCCCTTATTAAAAAAGACTCGCTTCAGTCTACCATTTGAGTCGTTTAGACTCAATAATGTGCAGCAACAGAGGTTTTCTGGGATCACAAACAAGATCGTCTGTTATGCACACTGTTTTATCAACGAACAAGGTAAAAGTCTTATCCCCCTTCCATCCTCTACTCTGAGAAAGGCAAGGTGGTAAGGATAGACTGGCCAACCACGAAGGACAAGAACGCGTTAGAGCTTGCAAGTCTTGGATTACATCTATCAGGTAAAACGTGGTAAAAGTGTTGGACGTTACCAGCATGCACGCTGCCATGATCTTCTCAATGAACACCATCATCTACGAGGCTAAGGATGATGCAATGGCTCTACTTACATATGTCCGGAGTGACCCTGAGAGGGAGCTTGCACTTCCCCCATGGCTTAAGCAAGCTTAGTAGTCTCTTTGTGATGTCTGTACTCTTTGTGATGTCTGTACTCTTTGTGATGTCAGTGTCAGATAACCAAAGCCTGCGACGTTCTTGGAGAAAAGTTTCAGTCCCCTTTCTAGTGAAGGCTACAGAAAGTATGGTAAACACTCATACCTTTGAGGTCCCAAGGCAGACTTCTGATTCTTGGCTGGGAACTCTGGCAATGCTCTAAACAAGACTCTGGATATATTCTTTAGGAACGTGACAGCAGACATCCAGTGCATGCAGCTCTGACACCCCCGACCCAAGAAAAGCAACCTTCCAAACAAGATGGGATAGTTTTGCATGGCCTTTGAACAGATGGTATAAAAGTGCCGATAAGACCACTGGCAAATCCCATTTCGTAGTAATTCACTGTTTCAACAACCTTAAATAGTTAAATGCTAAATATTCCGCAATCATAGGGATAGCTTTGGATCTATGGGCACTGTCTGATCTAATTCTCCACTGCTGGAATCGATCCCACTTGCAGTCATGGCGAGTAGATGTCGAAGGTCCGAGTGATGGCGTAACAGCTGAGGAAACTCCCGTTGGAAATCCCGCTGACGAGAGATGTTGTTGGATACTTTCGATACATGTAGGCTGAGCTTTTGTAAATTGCAATAGAACATGTCTGACTTCAGCTGTCGGTGAAGTGCAGGTCACTGAGCAAGATGTAATGGTACATCTATCAGTAAAGACAACTGGACTTGAAACCTCGAGCGCATTTTCAGCATGCTGGCGCTACAACTGTGATGTGACGGTTCCTGGTGGAAAATGCATTGGTGGAAAAGCATAGGCAATGATTCCTCCCCAAGGTGCTGACATGGCATCCACTGTATAAGCTTGAGTATCTGGCGCTGGGCTTATATAGGTCGTTGAGAGATGTTCCAATTTGGTTGTTCCCATGCTAAAGGCATGCGGATGATGCCTCCAATCTATTGTCTAATTCTTGTCCGGGCATTGTACATAACGCATCTGCAAGAATGTTGACTTCAGTTAGGTTATGTTTGACCACTTTGTTGCACTTGTAAAGTTCCTTCTTGAGAGGGAGTGTCTTATAATACAGGGTGATCCCCATAATAGGGATTATGGGGCTTTGGTGACCTTGGGGATCCAACGACCTTCCAGTTTTCCGTGACCATTTTCCGACTTCAGTTCCCATAAAGGTTCTTCTATTGAACAGTCGATTCTCTAACGGCTGTGAGTAACACATGTTCTGAATGTCCGGGAGATCGTTGAACACTGCTGATGTTGGTAATGATCCCTGCAACATAGGTTAAACTGCACCCATAACGTGAGAGCTTGAGAACCATAGAGTGCCTTGGTCATGCTATCTATGTAGCCATGCAGCATCTGGGTTGTTTTCTCTCGTCCCGTGATCTCCAGCTCCATGTCAACAGCTTTCAGACTCCTGAGATATACCAATAATTATAATGTTATTAATAGTGCGGCCAGAATCCTCGAGGTCTCTGAGTCTGGTCTCCTATAGAAATATGTACAGGGACTTTAAGTGCAAAACCTTTGAACATTTTTAGAAGACGGGAGCTCCATGCTGTCAGTCGCGTAAGGACAATGGTGGATATTTTCGCTTCATTTTGTCTTGAATAGAGGGGCCCCTGGTTGCTGAATTACAGTTGCAAAGTCCTCCACCTTCGGCATTGGTGGCATGGCATCCTGGAAGAGGACAACGAATAGCAAGTTTCTTTGAGATTTGTGTTATCCCAAGCTAAACCTAGTGATTCCCAGTATGGGTCGTACAGAATGTCATCATTTGACATCCTGGTCTAACGGTATGATCTGTGCGTCTTGCAAGGTCCTGGCTGGAGGCGCGGCTGGTTGAAATTGTACGGTGAACCTGACGGCCCTGACGACTGGTGTGGTCCGTGCGGGTCCATGTGGCTATTGTGGCTGGTGAAATTGACACCATGCCTTTGGTTAAAATCAGGTCACAGAGGTATAGTCTCGTGCACCAAGTCTTGAGGTGCTTGCAAGTGGTGACAGGTAGCTGAACCTTGGCTGCTATCGCCAGGTCATGGTGACCAAGACAATCCCGATGACACTCTCCACCAGGACGAAACTAAGCTCCGGGGTGCTGCTTGAAACGGTTTTGAGAAACGGCTGA